CAAACGGCTGGTCTGCTTGCTGGAGTGGTGCAGTATCCCATGTGCTAGCTAGGTGCCAGATAGATTCGTCCTTTGCTAGGTCAGCGGGTGATTTCTTGGATGGCTGCGATGGCACATCTGCAGCCTGACCTGCTGGCATGTTGGAAGGTTATGGCATACCACCCTGTTCCCCCCCCCCCCCCCCCCCCCCCCCCCCCCCCCCCGCTTCCTTGTCTCCGCGCCGACACATGCTGATTCTCCTTATCGCCCAAGAAGACCTCCTCCGAAAAGTCTGAGCGCTAGGGCATATGGTCGCTCTCGTTCTGGGAGTCATCAAAACCTTCTTCATCCCCATTTGCTGGCGTTGTCACACGCCTTGGATGGTTGTGGCGATCCCCCCACGTGCTTAATCTCACGATCGTGGCCTCTCCTCCTAGTAGTGGAATTCTTCCTCCACGTGTGTTTTTCCTCCGCCCTCTCCCTCCGCGGGATATCGCGGAGGGTACGCAGGCCCCGCCGTCACTTGCGCCTTCCTGTGCGGGTCTTAAACCCTTTCCAGCCGGGACCCAGGGAGTTGCCATAGTTGCTCGTCCCGCACCTGTTGGCCTGCCCCACACGTTTCCCCGGCCTCTCGTCGAGCTCCGTGTTTCTCGGTGAGTTGCCTGCTGGGCTGTGGGTGATCGTTCCATGATTTGTTGCATTTGGCGTGCCCGCTCGGCCCTTTGTTGTGCTTGACCAACCTCGCCCGTGTTGCTCCTCACATTGGGTTCCTCTGCAGGTTGTGGTGCAGATGACAACGGACGTGCTTGCCGTGGTGGTGGTTGCCCTTGAAGAAGCCAGCCCCGGAGGGGTCCCGGGGCGCAAGGTCCCAGCCCTGCTCCGGGCCGTCTCAGCGCTGGCTGGGCACGCACCTTCTTCTTCTTTTTCGCCCGGGCTGCGTCGGAAGCGGCTCCGTTCATGGGACCCTCATTATCACCCTCCGCTTGGCTGTGCTTCTGCGTGCTTGCGGCCGCGGCAGCAGCATGCGTTGGGGGGGACTCAGCAGCAGTCGGTGCAGGCTCTTGGTTTGGGGGTCCTTCTTGTTGTCTTGCTGCCTCGGCTACGACTGCCGCAATCTCAGCTACCCCAAGTGGTGATAGGGATTCGGCCACCAATGGCGCTGGGGATTCAGCTGACCCCAGTCCCGTCCGTAACTCCTCCGCGGCCGGACCCCCGTTCATAGGTAGCAACGTCGCCGTCGGTTGTGCCGCTGAGGATGAGATTAAGTCGCCGCCAAAGGCGGCAGCAGTCCCAGCACCAGGGCCAGCGCGTCTCCTGTGCCGTCTCCGTCGACTCAGCCGCTACAGCCACGTCAGTCTCCACCTGCCACGTCACCCCGGGTCCCGCAGCAGCACCAGTCTCTTCCAAACCAGTTACCTCTACCCCAGCCTTAGCTGCATCAGCCGCCAGCTCCCCAAGTGCCGCTGCGGATTCTCCATAAACTTGCACCAACAGGCCACTTGGTCAGCTACCTGCCTATTTTGCATCAGATGGTGAAGGATGAGATGGCTGCTGGCGTACGAGTGAAGCGGGAGCCCACCGAGGTACTTGGTTGCCCGACGTGCATGCAAGCCAAGTTTACTCGTTTCCCGTTCTCTAGTTCGGAGGCAACGGCTAAGACACTGCTTGATGAGGTGGTGATGGATGTGGTGGGCCCCTTGAAGCTTGGAGCTGCTGGAGTTTAGTATTTTCTCACCATAGTCGATATCTACACCCACATGACTTGGGTGTATGTGCTGGCCAAGAAGAGCGACATCGCTGAAACGGTGAAGACCGATTGGTTACCGGTAGTAGAGCGGCAACAAGACCGACTTGTAAAATCAGTCTGCACTGACCAGGGGGGAGAGTTACTAAGCATGGAGTTTTAATTGTGGCTGAAGAATAATGACATAAGGCATACCCTACTATGCCATACTCCCCTGCAATGAACGACGATCATCGAACGAGCGAACCCGACAATCACGGAGACGGCACACGCGTTGCTCATTAAAGCCGGGCTACCTGACTATTTTTTGTCTGATGAAGTATGAAGTGCATGTGTGGCCAAGAACAGAGCATTAACTCATGTGGGAGCAGATAAATGGGTGCACTATATGGAGTGGATTAGAAGGAAGCCGAAGGTCAATATGCTTAAGATGTTCGGGTGCATGTGCATGTCGCTCGTGCCTAAGCATTTTCGGTACAACAAGGTTTGTGCAAAGGCGATATGGGCTGTGCAACTGGGCATGGCTCAAAATTGCAAGGGATTGCTTCTTTGAGACCCATTCAACATGGAGTTCTTGATGAGCAGGAACTCCAAGTCCATGGAGAATCTCATGTACATGGATTGGAAGGCGGAAAATGTATCGAAGATAGGCTTGAGGTTTGGGAAGGTGAAGAGTTCCAGTTTGGAGCATGTGGAGCTGCCTTTGGAGCTGAGCAACACCCTACCGGACGTCGCCTTTGCTACCAGACAACTGACTAGGGTTGTGCAATGCTGTAATGAGGAACAAGTAGCAGCTAAAATGAGGATGGCCAAATATCTCGGCCAAACAGTAACCGTTGGGCTGCAATACTCGGCGGCGGCGCAAAGGCGCCTGAAGGGCGCGGATGGTGTTGAATTCGGGCGTTTGTTTCCCACAGCCTTCTTGGATGTTTCTTATTCATCAAAACCAGAGGACATGACAAGTGTTGGAGGCTTCATTTTCTATGTTGGTGGAGGCCCAACTTCTTGGGAAAGCAAGAAGCAGTTGGGCCAAGCTTTAAGCTCGGTGAAATTCGAGTACATGGCACTCTTCTGTGCCTATAGGAAATTGTGTGGCAGCGGCGTTTGTTGGCTGAGTTGGGGGAGGAGCAGAATGGACCTACCACACTTTATTGTAACAGCCAGGATGTCATTGCACTTGCTAAGAACCTTGTCATTGCATGACCTCACCAAGCACATGACGGTCAAATGTGTGAAGAATAAAACGAGAGAATGAGCGAACTATGAAAGAGTTGGGTACAAGTACTAACCCTAATTGGGTTGTACCCCTTATGGGCTACCCCACTACAGCCTACACAGACTACAGCATATCAGTTTGACACACCCCCATAGGCAAGGTGGGGGAGAACAAGCGATCACAAGACCAGTCAAGCAAAGCAAAGCAAGCTCAGGGTGGATCACAAAGTCACCACACAGTCCGAGCACAAGAGTAAGGCCATAAGGCCAGTTCACATGCAAGATCATATATATAAAGGTAAACAAGCAAGTGCAGGTATAGAAAGAGTACAGTACAAACAAGATCAAGAAGTGAGCAAGCGAGGCCAAGTAGGCACAAGACCTAGCAAAGTACAGAAGCGCTGATGATCACAAGGCGGAAGGGCCTTGGTGAATATATCAGCAGTGTTGGCCTCAGAGGCCATGTAGGTGAGGCGGAGCTGACTACGCTGCTGCAGCTCACGAGCCAGGAAGTAGTGAAGAGCAATGTGCTTCGTTCTGTGCTCTAGTCTGTGCTCCCGACACAAGGCCAGCATGGCCTTGTTGTCTACGTACAGAACTGGAGGAGAACGAGGCGGCTCTCCTAGGTCAATCAGCAGGTAGGTGAGCCAGCGTAGCTCCTGTGCAGCCATGGCCCCTGCGTAGATCTCAGCCTCACAGCTGGAGCTGAGAACAGAAGACGAGCGGGTAGACTGTCACGAAACAGAGCCGGAGCCAAGGCTGAAGGTGTAACCCTGTGACGACCGCTGCAGAGCGTGGTCGTCAGCCCAAGAAGTGTCTGAACATTATAGCTTATGCTATTGTGTAGGCTATAGTGGGGTATCCCATAGGGGGTACAACCCAACTAGGGTTTCATATTTGTACTCGCTTCATTCATAGTTCACATCATTCTCGTTCTAATCTTCGCATGGTATCGAGCAGGTTCCCCCTTGGGAACAGTGCTTAGGGCCCACCACACTGAGTTTTTTTTTTTTCGTGCCCGAAGCGCGCTCAGCCCGAGTCGCACTCCGGGCCCTCACTTCGTCGAGCCGCCCTAGCGGCCCTTCACTGCGGCCCCGCCGCCTGTCTCAGCAGCCTCGCCGCCCTTTTCTGCGGCCCCGCCGCCTCTCTCGTTGCGGCCCCGCCGCCCTTCACGGCGGCCCCGCCACCCGTCTCAGCGGCCTAGCCGCCCGTCTTCGCGGCCCCGCCGCCTCTCTCGCTGCGGCCCCGCCGCCTCTCACTGCAGCCCCGCCGTCCGTCTCAGCGGCCCCGCCGCCCGTCTTCGCGGCCCCGCCGCCTCTCTCGCTGCGGCCCCGCCGCCTCTCACTTCGGCCCCGCCGCCCGTCTCTGCGGCCCCGCCGCCCGTCTCCACGGCCCCGCCGCCTCTCTAGCTGCGGCCCCGCCGCCTCTCTCGCTGCGGCCCCGCCGCCTCTCACTACGGCCCCGCCGCCCGTCTCAGCGGCCCCGCCGCCCGTCTTCGCGGCCCCGCCGCTTCTCACTTCGGCCCCGCCGCCCGTCTCTGCGGCCCCGCCGCCCGTCTCCGCGGCCCCGCTGCCTCTCTAGCTGCGGCCCCGCCGCCTCTCACTGCGGCCCCGCCGCCCGTCTCTGCGGCCCCGCCGCCCCTCTCGCTGTGGCCCCGAGCCCTACCAGCGGCCCTACGGCCCTACACCGCCCACGCCACCCGAGCTGCCCGACCCGCCCGAGCCGCCCGAGCTGCCCGACCTGCCCGAGCCGCCCGAGCCGCCTGAGCTGCTGAGGGGCCGAGCCGCCCGACCCGCCCGAGCCGCCCGAGCCGCCCGAGTCGCCCAAGCCCCCTGAGCCGCTGAGGAGCCGAGCCGCCCGACCCGCCCGAGCCCCCCGAGCCGCCTGAGCCGCTGTGGAGCCGAGCCGCCCGAGCCGCCCGAACCGCAATTGCTGCTGAGCCGTCTGAGCAGCCGCGTTGCTGTGCTGCTGAGCTGCCCGACCCGTCCTGTCTGGTGAGAGCCGCGCTCCTGTCACTGCACTGCCCCTGTCCTACAGGTAGTACTTCTAGGCTACTGTCGTCATGGCTACCCCTAGTGTCCTTGCTTTTGACGCTGAGGGTCGGGCCATTGACTTTGAGGTCTGGGTAGACGACCTGCAGCTGTTCTTACAGTGCGATAGGGCAGACGGTCTCTCTTTCTTTGACCTTACCTCTGGCGCTTCCCCTGCCCCTGCTGCTGATGCTGACGCCACTGTTTGCTCCCAGTGGGCCACACGCGATGTTGCTGCACGTCTTGCTGTGCGTCGCCACCTCCCTACCTCCGAGCGTGCGCACTTTAGTCAGTACAAGAGTGCTCAGACCTTGTACGACGCTGTAGTCGCGCGCTACTCCTCCCCTGACACTGCTGCACTAAGCCGTCTCATGCTACCGTACCTCTTCCCTAACCTTGCTGCCTTTCCCACCGTGGCTGACCTCATTACGCACCTCCGCACTAGTGACACTCGCTACCCGCGCTGCACTCCCTGCTGACTTCTGCGCCAAGAACCCCCCCCCCATGTACATCACTCGGTACTTCCTAGTCACTCGCCTTCCTGAGTCCCTTAGTGTAGTCAGGGACCACTTTCTCTCAGTCTGTCCCACCACACTCACTGTCGATCTCCTCGAGAAGGCCCTCTTAGCAGCGGAGAAGAGTATAGTCGCTGTAGGAGCCTCTCGAGATGACCCGCGCACCCCCATCTTTGAGGGGTGTTCCCCCTCCCCCCTGCTGCCCTATGTTGCCTCTGCTGCTACGGCCGACCTCCTTGGTCTTGAGTCAGTCGGTGCGGCGTCTGCCCCTAGCGGGAGACGCCGCCCTGGCAAGGGCAAGGGGGCAAAGGGAGCTGGAGGAGTGGGCGGTGGAGGTGGAGGTGGAGGCGGTGGGGGTAGTGGGGGTGGCGGTAGGAGTGGAGGTGCGGGTGGGGGGGTCGGTGGCGGCGGTGGAGGCGGAGGCGGCGGCGGCGGTGGCGGTGGGAGCGGAGGTGGCGGAGGAGGCGGCGGTGGAGGCGGCGGTGGAGGCGGCGGTGGAGGCGGCGGCAGTAGCGAAGGCGGCGGAGGCGGTGGGGGTGGCGGTGGAGCTGGTCGCGGGCCTTCGCAGAGGAGTGGCTCCGGTAGTGGCGCGCGCCAACAGCAGGAGCGCGGTCGTGAGACCCTGTCCCCTCAGCAGCTCCGTGAGTGGTACACTGCACGCCAGCGGGGTGGGGGTTTTGGTCCGTGCACCTACGTCCTGCGCACCGGCGACCGTGCGGGTGAACAGTGTGGGGGTCCGCACCCGAACCCAGCGCTGCTTTGGCCGCCTGACGGACGCGTGGCGTCACCAGTTCCCGGAGGCCTCAGAGATTCCTCGCTGGGGCGAGCTGTCTAGGGCGGGTGTTGCCATCTTTGATCTTGACTTTGATGCTATTCTCTCTGCCATGTATGCTGTGTCTCATAGTGATGAGGGTGACTGCTACCGCTGTTTCCCGCCCGATCCGGGCATTGAGGCTGCTGCCTTAGGTGCTTGCGACGCAACTGCTCTAGGTGCTAGTGTGTCTGCGTCCTCAGGTACTGGTGAGTCTGCGCTCTCAGGTACTACGTCGGCTTCGGCCTCCCTCACCTTTACTCTTGACTCTGGGGCGTCTCGCTCCTTTCGGGACCGCACCACACTCACGCCGCTCAGTCGGCCGGTTGCGATGTCTCAGGCTGACCCCTCCGGGGGTCCTGTACTGTCTCGCTTCTCCACAGTCCTCCCGTGTTCGGCGGCTCCCTCTGGCACACTGTCTGGTCTCAACCTCCCCTCGTTCTCGACGAACCTGGTGAGTGGTGCTGACCTACAAGATGGGGGAGTACACCAGTTCACTCCTGCGAGTCAGCGGGTGACGCACTGTACAGAGGCTAGCACAGGCCGGCACCTGGCTACGTTTACCCGTCAGCCGGGGTCGAGCCTGTACACACTGACCACTGCGTCTCCTCCCGTTACTGAGTCTAGTAGAGTCGCTTCGTCCGGTCAGGTGTTTGCTGCAGCGTCTAGGTCTGGTCCTGAGTCTACCCCCTGTTCGTGTCATCTCTTGTCTCATGAGACTCTCCTCTGGCACCACCGTCTTGGTCACCCCTCTCTGCTTCGGCTCGGAGGCATGGCCTCCCGTCTTCTTGTGTCTGGTCTCCCCCGGTCCCTGCCTCCCCTTCCTCAGGGCCCTGGCCCTGCCTGTGTCCCCTGTGTCGAGGGGCGCCAGCGGGCTGCCCCTCACTCCTCCCAGTTTCCTCCGACAGAGGCCCCGTTGCAGACGCTTCACATGGATGTGTGGGGCCCGGCCCGCGTCCGTGGACAGGGTCACGAGCGCTACTTCCTGCTCGTTGTTGACGACTACTCGCGTTACACCACGATCTTCCCCTTGCGCAGCAAGGGTGATGTCACTGAGGTGCTGATCGACTGGATCCGCGCGGCTCGTCTCCAGCTCAGGCGGAGCTTTGGCTCGGACTTCCCTGTTTTGCGTCTGCACTCGGACAGAGGCGGAGAGTTTTCCTCTGGCCTACTGCGAGCCTACTGTCGCGCACGAAGCATCCGTCAGACCTTCACGCTTCCGGACTCACCGCAGAAAAATGGGATTGCTGAGCGCCGCATTGGCATGGTCATGGACGTCGCTCGTACGTCTATGATGCATGCGGCTGCCCCCCATTTTCTGTGGCCGTTTGCGGTCAGGTACGCGGCGCATCAGATCAACCTCCACCCCAGGGTCTCCAGCCCGGAGGCCTCTCCAGCCTTACTGTGGACGGGGAAGGTTGGCGATGCGTCGGCGTTCCTTGTGTGGGGATCTCGGGCGTTTGTCCGCGACTTGTCTGCGGACAAGCTGTCCCCTCGTGCTGCTCCTTGCGTCTTCCTGGGGTTCCCCCCTGACGCGCCTGGGTGGCAGTTCTACCACCCCACCTCTCGACGTGTTTTGTCCTCCCAGGACGTCACTTTTGACGAGTCGGTCCCCTACTACCGCCTCTTCCCCTACCGCACTCCGTCCCTCCCCCCACCCCCGCTCTTCCTTGTACCAGGTCCCTGTCAGAACATATAGCTTACCTGTTTGTGTCGGCTATAGTGGGGTATCCCATAGGGGGTACAACACATTAGGGTTTCCTATTTGTATTCACTTCACTTCATAGTCATCCATTCTCGTTCTTTGTTTTCACATGGAATCAGAGCAGGTTCCCTCCTAGGGACTGCTTCTAGGGCCCACCGAACCGCGCCCCGAGGCGCGTTTTTTTTAGCGACCCGTCGTGTCGCCCCTAGCGGCCCGTTGCGCCGCCCTTCCCCTAGCGGCTCCGCCGCCCTTCCCTAGCGGCCCCGCCGCTCTTCGATCGCGGCCCCGCCGCCCTCTGCTACGCGGCCCCACCGCCACCCTTCGATCGCGGCCCCGCCGCCCTCGGCTACGCGGCCCCGCCGCCCTCTGCCACGCGGCCCCGCCGCCCTCTGATACGCGGCCCCGCCGCCCTTCGATTGCGGCCCCGCCGCCCTCTACTACGCGACCCCGCCGCCCTCTGCTACGCGGCCCCGCCGCCCTCTACTACGCGGCCCCGCTGCCCTCTGCTACGCGGCCCCGCCGCCCTCTGCTACGCGGCCCCGCCGCCCTTCGATCGCGGCCCCGCCGCCCTCTGCTACGCGGCCCCGCCGCCCTCTGCTACGCGGCCCCGCCGCCCTCTGCTACGCGGCCCCGCCGCCCTCTTCGGTCGCGGCCCCGCCGCCCTCTGCTACGCGGCCCCGCCGCCCTCTGCTACGCGGCCCCGCCGCCCTCTGCTACGCGGCCCCGCCGAGCCGCCCAGCATCAGCCGAGCCGCCCAGCAACAGCCGAGCCGCCGCCGAGCCGCCGCCGCCTGAGCCGCCGCCCGGGCCACCTGAGCCGCCGCCCGAGCCGCCGCTGAGCTGCGGCCGAGCCGCCGCCCGAGCAGCCCGAGCCGCCCGTGCCGCCCGAGCCGCCCGAGCCGCCCGAGCCGCCCGAGCCGCCCGAGCCGCCCGAGCCGCCCGAGCCGCCTGAGGAGCCGTGCTGCTGTTCCTGAGCTGTGTTCCTCTGCTGCTGACCTACCCGACTCTCCCAGCCCGGTGAGACTTTCAGCTGCTGCCATGGCCACCCCCAATGTTCTTACTTTTGACGCTGAGGGGAGGGCCATTGACTTTGCCGTCTGGATTGAAGACCTGCAGCTGTACTTACTGTGTGATGCGATAGATGAGGTCTCTCTCTTTGACTTTGTCTCTGGCGCTGTCCCTGCCCCACCTGCTGATGCTGACTCTGCCGTTCGCTCCAAGTGGGCGACCCGCGATGCTGCTGCACGTCTTGCTGTGCGTCGCCACCTCCCTTCCTCTGAGCGTGCCCACTTTAGTCAGTGCAAGACCGCTCAGGCCTTGTACGACGCTGTAGTTGCACGCTACTCCTCCCCTTCCTCCGCTACCCTTAGCCGCCTCATGCTACCGTTTCTCTTCCCTGACCTCGCTTCCTTTCCCACTGTCGCTGACCTCGTTACCCACCTCCGTGCTAGTGACACCCGCTACCGCGCTGCCCTTCCTGCTGAGTTCCGCGCTGCGAACCCTCCTCCCATGTACATCACTCTCTACTTTCTCGTCACCCGTCTCCCTGAGTCCCTTCGTGTCGTTAGGGACCAGTTTCTCTCTGTCTGTCCCACCACTCTCACTGTCGACCTCCTTGAGGAGTCCCTGCTAGCGGCTGAGAAGAGTATTGTCGCTGTAGGGGCCTCTCGGGGTGACCCTCGCACCCCCATCTTTGAGGGGTGTGGTCCTTCCCCCCCTGCTGCCCTCTGTCGCCTCTGCCGCTGCGGCCGACCTCACTGGTTTTGAGTCGGTCGGCGCGGCGTCTGCCCCCAGCGGCAGACGCCGCTCTGGCAAGGGCAAGGGGGGCAAGGGAGCGGGTGGAGCTAGAGGGGGCGGTGGAGGAGGCGGTGGGGGTGGCGGGGGGAGTGGGGGTGGCGGTGGGGGTGGTGGCGGGAGTGGAGGTACTGGTGGCGGCGGTGGAGGCGGAGGTGGCGGCGGAGGTGGTAGCGGAGGAGGCGGTGGGAGCGGTGGGAGCGACGGTCCAAGTGGGGGAGGTGGAGGTGGAGACGGGGGTGGCGGTGGAGGCGGGGGTGGCGGTGGAGGCGGGGGTCGGAGTGGCTCGTCCCAGCGGAGCAGCTCTGGGGGTGGTCAGCGCCAGCAGCAGCAGCAGCAGCAGCCGCAGCAGCAGCCACAGCAGCAGCAGCGCTCTCGCACCGTCCCCGCCCCTCAGCAGCTCCGTGAGTGGTACTCGCAGCGTCAGCGTGGTGGTGCGCTTGGTCCTTGCCCCTACGTTCTTCGCACCGGTGACCGTGCAGGGGAGAGGTGTGGAGGCGCCCACACAGCCCGCCGCTGCTTTGGCCGCCTGACTGACGCCTGGCGTCAGCAGTTTCCGGAGGCAGCTGAGATCCCCCGCTGGGGAGAGCTGTCTAGGGCTGGTGTAGCTATTTATGATCTTGATTTTGATGATATTCTCTCTGCTATGTATGCTGCGATTGGTAGTGATGAGGATGACTGTTACCGGTGTTTCCCGCCCGACCCGGGCATTGGTACTGCCGCGTCAGGTACTAGTGAGGCTGCTGCTCTAGGTGCCAGTGCGTCTGTGCTCTCAGGTGCTGGTGAGTCTGCCCTCTCAGGTACTGTGTCGGCTTCGGCCTCTCACACCTTCACCCTTGACTCTGGAGCGTCTCGCTCCTTCTTTAGGGACCGCACCACTCTCACGCCGCTGAGTCGGCCGGTTGCGGTGTCCCTGGCTGACCCCTCTGGGGGGCCTGTCCTGTCTCGCTTCTCCACTGTCCTCCCGTGTCCGGCGGCCCCCTCTGGCACCCTGACTGGTCTTTACCTCCCCTCGTTCTCGACGAACTTGGTGAGTGGTGCTGACCTCCAGGATGCGGGTGTCCACCAGTTCACCCCTGCTCGTCAGCGGGTGACCCACTGCACGGAGGCGGATACAGGTCGCCACCTGGCTACGTTTACACGTCGGCCAGGGTCGAGCCTGTACACACTGACCACTGCTTCTCCTCCAGGTGCTGAGTCTGGTAGGGTCCCTTCGTCTGGTCAGGTGTTTGCTGCAGCGTCCAGGTCTGGTCCTGAGTCTGCCCCCTGCTCGTGCCGTCGTCTGTCTCACGAGACCCTCCTCTGGCACCACCGCCTTGGCCACCCCTCTCTGCTTCGGCTCAGAGGCATGGCCTCGCGAGTCCTTGTGTCTGGTCTTCCCCGGTCTCTCCCTCCCCTTCCTCCGGGCCCTGGCCCCACCTGTGTCCCCTGTGTCGAGGGGCGCCGCGTGCTGCCCCTCACTCCTCCCAGTTTCCTCCGACAGAGGCCCCGTTGCAGACGCTTCACATGGACGTGTGGGGCCCAGCCCGCGTCCGTGGACAGGGTCAGGAGCGCTACTTCCTGCTGGTGGTTGACGACTACTCGCGTTACACCACAGTCTTCCCCTTGCGCAGCAAGGGTGAGGTCACTGAGGTGTTGATCGACTGGTTCCGCGCAGCTCGTCTCCAGCTTCGGAGGAGCTTTGGCTCTGACTTCCCTGTTTTGCGTCTGCACTCGGACAGAGGCGGAGAGTTCTCCTCTGGCCTCCTGAGTGCCTACTGTCGTGCGCGAGGCATCCGTCAGACCTTCACGCTTCCGGACTCACCACAGCAGAATGGGATTGCTGAGCGCCGCATTGGCATGGTCATGGACGTCGCTCGTACGTCCATGATGCATGCGGCTGCTCCCCATTTTCTGTGGCCGTTTGCGGTCAGTTACGCTGCGCACCAGATCAACCTCCACCCCAGGGTCTCTCGACTGGAGACCTCCCCAGCCCTGCTGTGGACGGGGAAGGTTGGCGATGCGTCGGCGTTCCGGGTCTGGGGATCTCGGGCGTTTGTTCGCGACCTATCTGCGGACAAGCTGTCCCCTCGTGCTTCTCCCTGCGTCTTCCTGGGGTTCCCCCCCGACGCCCCTGGGTGGCAGTTTTACCACCCCTCCTCTCGACGTGTTCTGTCCTCCCAGGACGTCACGTTCGACGAGTCGGTACCCTACTACCGCCTCTTCCCCTACCGCACTCCGTCCCTCCCCCCACCCCCGCTCTTCTTGGTACCAGGTCCCCCCCCGGTAGTCCCCCTCCCCCCTCAGGGTCCTGCCCCTTCAGGTGTGTCCCAGGTAGACGCGGTCGAGCCTGTCGAGGTCACTGGTGACTCTGGTGCTGCTGCGGGAGCTGAGCCTGGGGGTGCGGAGTCTGGGGGTGCTGAGCCTGGGGGTGCTGAGCCTGGAGGTGCTGTGCCTGGGGGTGCTGAGCCTGGAGGTGCCGAGTCTGGGGGTGCTGTGCCTGGGGGTGCTGAGCCTGGAGGTGCTGAGCCTGGGGGTGCTGAGCCTGGGGGTGCTGAGCCTGGGGGTGCTGTGCCTGGGGGTGCTGTGTCTAGGGGTGCTGAGCCTGGAGGTGCTGTGCCTGGGGGTGCTTCGTCTAGCCTGGAGCCACTCTCCCCACGGGAGCTGCGTGAGTGGTTTGCCAGGCGCTGGAGGCGTGCTGCTGGTGCTGGTGGTTCTTCGGCTGCAGAGGGTACTGCTGCTGCGCGCCCCGCCGGTGCTCGTACTGTGGGTGCTGGAGCTGCTGAGTCTGAGAGTTCTCCTGGAGCTGGTCCTGCTGAGGGTGTTGGCGCTGAGCCTGCCGTTGGCGGTCCGACTGACAGTGCTCCTGGTGCTGCGGCTGGAGGTTCTGGAGCTTCTGGTGGTGCTGCTGGAGGTGCTGCTGGAGTGGGTGCACCTGCCGGGGCTGCTGGTGCTGTTCCTGCTGTTTCTAGCGTCGCCGCGCGGCCCCGACCGTACTTCGTTCCGCTCCTGCAGCAGGTTCTTGGTCTTCCACCTCCTCCTCCTCCCTTAGAGGGTCCGCAGCCTGTCCAGTCACAGCCACAGCTACAGCCTGCCTCCCCTTTGCCTGCTCCTTCTCCCTACGCTGGTCCGACTGGAGGTCTTACTGAGCGTCGTGAGCCTGCGTCTCGTCCTGTGTCGCTTGTTCGTACTGAGCGCGCTAGTGGTCGCGGGTCGCGTCAGCGTCCTCCTCCTGTCCCTGGCACGCACCGGATGTCACTGCGTCCGTCCACTGCTCCTCTGCGTGCCCCTTTGCCTTCTCCTCCTGCTTCCTCTCTTCCTGCTCTTGCCGACCCGGAGTCGGACTCTCTTCGTGCTGCCAGTCCTACTGTCACGCGTCTCCTGGCTACTGCTGTCACTGACCCCTCCTTCGAGTCGTCTGCTGCGTCTGCCCTTGTCACTGAGCTTGTCGACTTTGCTGCGCGCTGTCGTCTAGACTACGCTGCTCGTCTTGTCACTGAGTCTGAGTCCGCCTGTCCTCCGTCCGTCGGGGGTGAGTGTGCCCTTGGCACGGACGTCCTTGAGGACAGGCAGGAGGAGTTCCAGTGTCTGGCCGCCGCTTCACCTCGTCTCGCGTCTGTACTGCTAGCCCCTGAGGGAGACCCGGATGCACCAGACATCCCGACTCCGCGCTCTTACGCGGAGGCGATAGAGGGTCCCTACTCCTCTCAGTGGCAGGCAGCTATGGATGCAGAGATGGCTTCCTGGAAGTCCACAGGCACCTACGTTGACGCTGTTCCCCCTCCTGGGGCGAACATCGTCAGTGGCATGTGGATTTTCAGGGTGAAGCGGCCGCCGGGTTCTCCGCCTGTCTTCAAGGCGCGTTACGTGGCTCGTGGCTTCAGTCAGCGGCAGGGGGTTGACTACTTTCAGACCTTCTCCCCCACCCCGAAGATGACCACTCTTCGGGTTCTGCTGCACGTTGCTGCTCACCGTGACTACGAGCTCCACTCTCTCGACTTCAGCACAGCTTTCTTGCAGGGCAGCCTGCACGAGGAGATCTGGCTGCGTCGCCCACCTGGCTTCACTGGGTCTTTCCCTCCTGGTACCCAGTGGAGTCTCCGGCGTCCAGTCTACGGTCTCCGCCAGGCGCCACGTGAGTGGCACGACACACTGAGGACTACGCTCGCGGCACTTGGGTTTGCTCCTTCCACTGCCGACCCGTCGCTGTTTCTGCGCACCGACACCTCTCTGCCGCCGTTCTACATCCTCGTGTACGTCGACGACTTGGTCTTTGCCACAGCTGACACTGCTGGACTCGCCTACGTGAAGTCCGAGCTGCAGAAGAGACACACGTGCACTGACCTGGGTGAACTGCGCAGCTACCTTGGCTTGCAGATCACCCGGGACAGAGCACGCCGCACCATTACCCTGACTCAGTCACACATGGTGCAGCAGGTCCTTCAGCGCTTCGGCTTCACGTACTCCTCGCCTCAGGCCACTCCTCTGCCTACTCGCCACTCGCTCTCAGCTCTGCCTTCGGATGAGTCCGTAGAGTCGAGTGGCCCGTTTGCAGAGCTTGTTGGCTGCCTCATGTACCTGATGACCTGCACACGACCTGACCTCGCATACCCTCTTAGCATTCTCGCACGCTTTGTTGCTCCTGGGAGACACCGACCAGAGCACATGGCTGCAGCGAAGAGGGTGTTGCGCTACTTGTGCAGTACGTCGGGCATGGGGCTAGTGCTTGGAGGGCGCAGTCCAGTGGTCCTCACTGGGCACGCAGACGCTTCTTGGGCTGACGACCAGGCTACGCAGCGGTCGTCACAGGGTTACACCTTCAGCCTTGGTTCCGGCTCTGTCTCGTGGCGGGCTACCCGCTCGTCTTCTGTTCTCGGCTCCAGTTGTGAGGCTGAGATCTACGCTGGGGCTATGGCTGCACAGGAGTTACGCTGGCTCACCTACCTGCTGACCGACCTTGGAGAGCAGCCTCGTTCTCCTCCAGTCCTGTACGTAGACAACAAGGCCATGCTGGCCTTGTGTCGAGAGCAGCGACTGGAGCACAGAACGAAGCACATTGCTCTTCGCTACTTTCTTGCTCGTGAGCTACAGCAGCGTAGACAGCTGCGACTTGCGTACGTGGCCTCTGAGGCCAACACTGCTGATGTCTTCACCAAGGCACTTGCGCCTTGTGATCATCAGCGTTGCTGCACGCAGTTGGGTCTTGTGCCTGTCTTGCCTCACTTGCTCTCCTCTTGACCTTGCTTGTACCTTCGCATATATATACTCTTGCTCTTGTATATCTCTATATATGATCTTGCATGTGAACTGGCCTTGTGGCCTTTGAACTTGTGCTCGGAATGCGTGGTGACTTTGTGATCCACCCTGAGCTTTGCTTTGCTTTGCTTGACTGGTCTTGTGACCCCTTGTTCTCCCCACTTTGCCTATGGGGGTGTGTCAGAACATATAGCTTACCTATTTGTGTAGGCTATAGTGGGGTATCCCATAGGGGGTACAACACATTAGGGTTTCCTATTTGTATTCACTTCACTTCATAGTCATCCATTCTCGTTCTTTGTTTTCACAGTCCCCCCCAGGTAGACTCCCTCCCCTCTCAGGGTCCTGCCCCTTCAGGTGTGTCCCACGTAGACGCAGTCGAGCCTGTCGAGGTCACTGGTGACTCTGGTGCTGCTGGGGGTGCTGAGCCTGGGGGTGCTGGACCTGGGGGTGCGGAGTCTGGGGGTGCTCAGCCTGGGGGTACAGCGTCCGGGGGTGCT